ATCTACTTCTCTGCATCTCATAGAACTTTCTCAAAAGTTAACCATACACTGTGTCAAAACAAGTCTCTACAGAAAGAAGAAAACTGAAATAACTCTCTGTATCCTTATCAGACCACCATGGATTAAAGCTGGATATTATCAACAGAAGCAACAAAATATTTACAAACTCATGGAAGCTGAACAACTCTCTACTGAGTGAAAAATGGGTCAAGACAGAAATAAAGAAAATAGAAACATTTTTAGAGTTCAATGAAAGCAAACACACAGCACATCCAAACCTATTGGATACATTGAAAATGGTTCTAAAAAGCAAGTACATAGCACTAAATACCTACATAAAAAGAAAGAGATCTCACATGAGCAGCTTAATAGCACACTTGAAAATTCTAGAGTGAAAGGAAGGAGGGGAGGAAAGGAGAAAGGGAGGGAGGGAGGGAAGGAAGAAGACCACAAAAGAGTAGACAGAGAAAATAATCAAACTCAGGGCCTAAATCAGTAAAATAGAAAAAAGGCCAAAAAGAATGAATGAAGAGTTGGCACTTTGAGAGAAAATCAATATGATGGAATAAACCCTTAGTCAAATTAACTAAAAGATGGCAAGAACAGATCCAAATTACTAAAATTAGAGATGAAAAGGGGAACATCAAACAGCCACCTAGGAAATCCAAATTTTAAGGACAGTCTTTAAAAATATGGACTTCACTAAACTAGAAAACCTAAAAGAAATGGATAAATTTCTTGATATAATTCAATAGTTAAATGATGATCAGATAAATAATTTAAATACCTATAACCCCCAGTGAAAAACAGAAGCAGTCTATCAACTATTAAAAGCCCAAGGAAAGATTAATTCAACACAGAATACTAACAGACCTTCAAAGAAGGTCTTCAAAGAAAAATTAATACCAATACTCCTTAAATTATTCTGCAAAATAGAAAGTGAACATTGTCTAATGCTTTTCATGAGGCCACTATTTCCCTGATACTTAATCCATACAAAGACCCACCAAAGAAAGACAATTACAAACCCATATCCCAGATGAGTATGGATGTAAGAATTCTTAATACTTGCAAACTGAATCCAAGAATAAAGTAGACTTCATCACAGAGATTCAGGGATCGTTCAGCATAACACATAAATATATAAACATAATCCACCAAATAAACATATTTTCAGCTTCATATGAAAAAACAAAAAATAGCCAAATAGCTAACAAATGTTGATTAGTAAAGGAGTTGCTATCATTATCACCATATCCTATATCAAGGTACCACTGATCTATATTAATAAAAACAGCATGGTGTTGTTACAGACATATTGATCAGTGGAATCAAACTGAAGAACCACACATAAGTCCACATACTTATGGACACCTGATTTTTGACAAAGAAGATAGAAACATACAATGGGAAAAAGACATAATCCTCAACATGCTGGACAAACAGGATGGCTGGCTATAGGGAAATGAACATAGATCCATATTTATCACCTTGTACAAAACACAACTTTAAATGGATCAAGGCCCTTAGCATAAGGCCAGATACACTGAATCTGATAGGAAAGAAAGTGGGAAATAGTCTTGAACAGAGAGATTTTCTGAACAGAACATGGATAACACAGACACAAAGAAAAATTAATCAATGGAACTTCACAGGACACCATCATTCGGACGAAGTTGCAGACTACAGAAAGAGAAAGATTTTTACTAAATACACATCCCATAGAGGGCTAATATCTAAAATATATAAAGAAAAATACTAGATATCAAGAAAGAAATAGCTGCCAGGTGGTGATGGCTCATGTCTTTAATCCCAGAACTTGGGAGGCAGAAGCAGGCAATCTCTGTAAGTTTGAGACCAACCTGTTCTACAGAATGAGTTCTAGGACAGTCAAGGATACATAAACAAACCCTGGAAGAGAGGGAAGAGAGGGAGGGAGGGACGGAGGGAGGAAGGAATGGAGGAAGAAAGGAAGGAAGGAAGGAAGGAAGGAAGGAGAAACTAATAGCCCAATTTTGAAATGTGGTACAGATCTACACAGAAAAAAATTTCTCAAAAGAGGAATGGGTGAGAAATGGCTGAGAAACACTTAGAAGAAATATTCAACATCCTTAGACACCAGGGAAATGCAAATTGAAACTACTTGGAAATTTTATCTTATACCAGTAAGAATGGCTAAGATCAATTAAACAAATGAAGGCTCATGCTGGCAAGGATGTGCGGTAAGGGGGGCATTCATTCAGAGCTGGTGGCACTGCAAACTTGTACAGTCACTACTGAAATTAGTGTAGACGTTCCTCAGGAAGCTGAGAATCAACTTACCTCAAGATCCATCTATATAACTCTTGGGCATATATATACCCAAAGGATTCTATATCCTACTACAGAAAAACTAGTATAACCATGGCTCATTGTAATAGTAAAAAATAAGAAACAACCTAGATGCCCATCAACTGATGATTGAATAATGAAAATGTGGTATATTTCACAATGAAATATTAGTCCGCTGATAAAGAAAAAGACCATGAAATTATGAAATGTTAGGTAATTGTATCAAGCTAGAAAAAAAAATTTCATTCAGAGTGAGATAGCCCAGACCCAGCACAACAAATATGGTATGTATTTGCTTATATGTGAATGTTAGCTTTTAAGCCTTCAATTGGCATTCTATAATCTATGTAATGATAAAGATTAGGTATAAAATAATGGACTAATAGGTAGAGAGACTCTCCCAAGGGAGCTGAAATGAAATACACAGTTATAGAGAGACATAATGGCCAGTTGAGGGCCATATGAAAAGTCTACTACTATAGAAATTTCCCAACATGTACACATATATAAACAAAATATAATTGGAGCCACCAATATCAATGCCCCAACTAGACATCTGTTAGCAGCAAGTGACACTTCAGTGCTGGGAATGGGTTACACCTAGTTGCATTGTTGGCCAAATGGGCCCCACAACTGGTTGCTTTCTGTAAAACTTCATGGCCTTAGTGCTGAAGACAGCACAGACAATTTCATCCAACACAAAGAAGTCAAGCTGGTACCTAACTAGAGCTTTCCACTGCTACTAACTAGTGTTTATGGATGGAACTCTGCGTGCTACCACAGGAGACACGTAACTATCAACCCAACTAAAAACGCTGGGATCTACAATGCTGACCAGCTTGCATGATATGCTGGTACAAAACTCACACCAAAAAAAAACCTCACACCCAACTACTCACTGACTGGATATAAGTCACACCCCAGCAGACAGAACCACTCCAGTGTCCAAGAATCTGAGACTGGATAGACTGTAGCCCTAAGGTAAACCAAATACTATTGTTCTGCTAAAGGAACGTAATAATGACAAATGATTCTTACAACAGTGTGCTATAGGTTGCTGTCATCAGAGAAGCATCCTCTTGCAGTAGATGGAAACTAACAACTGAACAATGTGCAGAGTGAGAGACTAGGGGAAGTCAGTCCTAAATGGGACATCTTTATCAAATTGCTCCCCACAGATTTAAGGAAGCCATGTGGTAGAGGAGGGAGAAAGATTGTAAGAGCCAGAGGTGATGGAAGACTCCAAGAAAACGGTGTCTTCTAGACACAACAGGCTGACCCACGTATGAACTCACAGAGACTGTGGCAGAACACACAGGGCCTGCAAAAGTTATCAAATGATGGGGTCCTAATGCTGAGAAAGGGTAGCGTACATGGGAATCCATCCCTAACAAAAAGGAGTTATCTCCAACTTACACTGGCTTGCAAAGGAAAACTTAATTTCCTCTGAAAGAGTCTTACTGGGTATATTGCCTACTTATTGCCTACCCTCAAGGGTAGGCCCCATGCCAAGCAAAAGATGGCCAGCACAAACAAATTCACTGACATTTCTGTAAACTTTCTGTCTCACAATGTTTTGGGTATTTTTGTCTTACTAATCTTTTGCTTGGTTATTATGGTTTCTGATTTTGTGTTTTTAATGAGTTTTGGTAATGGTGGTGGTGCTGTGTGTGTTTTTCTTGTGACTTCTTTTTTAATTCTGGTTTGTCTGGGGTTTTTGTTGATCTTTTGTTTTGTTTTCTAAAGAAGGGGGATGAGGGCATTGAGTTGGGAGGGTGGAGAAGTGGGGAGAATTCAGGAGTTAAGAGAGAGAAAACTCTGATTAGAATATAAAGAATGAAATTTTTCTTAATAAAAAGTATTTATTAATATGTTAGTTCACCATTTTTCTTGTAACACAGTGGTTATCAATACCAGCTGTTGCACTTTTGAAGTCAAATTCCCAGAACCTATTCTAGAAGTCAATGACTTTTTAAAGATGAGAATAAGGTATCTTTAGTTTTAAAGATCTCTTTAAGTAACACAAATGTGTAAGGTCTGGAAACTGTTAGGAGCAACATTACTTCAGACATCCCCCAACACACACACACACTCCACGGATTCAATTAACTTCATATAAACCTCATTTGAAACTTAAAATCATTATAGTCATATCATTACAGAAACTGAGGGGGGAAGGCAAATTATTTATTTTATTATACTCAATGGATAAAAAATGAATTGTGAATAAAAAATTTCAACTTCTTAATCCTTAACACTATTGAAATAGTCAAATTACTAAAATTTAGATAACTCACCATGAAAATATAGTTTCAAGTGCATTATGACAGGAGTAGATTATTAAAGGAAATAAGTTTGGAATTTAAAATCTCAAGCTGCAATTTCAGCCTAATAACCAGAAGCTGTAATAGGACTAAGTAGAGTGTGCTGCTTTCTAGAACTGGGGAAAATACTACCATGAAAACAGAAAAGAAACATTTTACTGAATAGTCCTTTAAGTTCATTTTTGTGGAAGTCAGCTGTTAAGATTCCATGCTCTTTGTAATGAATCCATGATTAGAAAAAGATATAAAATTTACCCACAGACAAACAACCTTAGCCACAACAGATAAAGTATTTTTGCTTCCAAAGACTGGTGTATGCAGAACACATTACAAGATTCACCTTACCTAGAGTATCCACTTCCGTAACAGATTTGGTTTCTAGATGAAGGTTAATGTCTTTTGGAATGGTAAGTGGCTTATTTTCAATATGACCATTGTATTTTCTGCAAAAATTAAACAAGTGACAGAAATGCACACACAAAAATTAGTTAGTGCTTATATCAGACTAAATATAAAAGAGATTTTTAAGTTTCATTCTAATGTCACCCTAGAGGAGGTCAGATACTCAAAAACAGTTTTCCAAAGGAGATGACAAACTGCTGAGGTAAATTATGTTACTACGAAGATGAGCAGAGGAGGAATTGCCTAAACTAGCAAAAGCAACCAAATCATGCTTGCTATCAGTGTTTCACATCCATTTTTCTTACTCTCTTTTGCAGATTTAAAAGCAACCTTTTGTAGAAACAAGATTAAAGGAAGAGAAATGTAATTCTACACACATATATGTATATATATATATATATATATATATATATATATATACACACACACACACATATAGACACAAATACAGCTATAATACAGGTCAGAGATGAATGAGTATATTAAAATGTATGTTTGCTGGCAGCTCAGTCCTAAGAGGCAACTGTGGAGGTGCCTACAAAGACTTACAGATGGAGAAAACCAGAGAAGTTCTTCAAGTGTACTGTGTCACTCCCAAACTGAAGTCTTAAGGACAGTCAAATGGTAACAAAGTAACAAGCCCAATTTTATTAACATGATTTTCAACATTGTATTTACTTTTAAGTAAATAAAAAATGGGGAAACTCTCAGTGACAGTATTTCACCTAAGTAATGCTGTTAGCTGAGAAACTCCTGGAAGGGTTGGGCACCTGCCCTGCGGACACTGCTTTCCTGGCAGCTTACACAAAGACCTGGGTTTGCTCTCAGCATAAACCAGGAGTGGTGATACATGGCCTCTACTGGGAAATGAAGGCAGGAGGATCAAAGGTTCCAGGCCACTTTCTGTTACCAGCTTTGTCTAAATGAGAAACCAGTTTTTTTAAAAAAAGCAAAATAATAGATTATAAGGCATGCAAAAAGAATTAAAATGGTCAAAAAATGAATAATAAACCATATAATTAAATCTCCCAATTATTTAACATGGTAACAATGGCCATCAGCAGAGTTAGAGGTTGAAAAAAAAAAGCAACTACAAACTAACATGGATTAAAATGCTGGTCCTTAAGTATATAAAATTGAAAAATTCACTTGACATTTTTTGAAATTATTTTTTATTATTTTGTATATATGGGTATTTCTACTAGAATCTGTGCACTGCATGCACACATTGCTCTTAGAGACCAGAAGAGGGCATCATAGGTAACAGAACTGGAGCTACACAGCTTATGGACTGCCATGTGGGTGCCAGGGATTGAATCCTAGACATCTGGAACAACAGCCAGTGTTCTTAACCACTGAGCTTTCACTCCAGCCCCTCCGCCAACACTTCTAATCAACAGCTTTTTGGTAAAATTATATTAAAATGTTTAGGGTGGCTACCTATACTAAGTTACAGCTGTACATAAAATATTTTGGAAACTGTAACATTGGTCTTTATACAGTGTATAAAGACCTACTGAAATTTAAAAAGGGGAAGGGTTCCTGATTAATAATCAAATGAATTTCAAGGTATACTGTATTAAGTGTAAAAAAGATCACCTCAATCGATTTCCATCTGAGGAAACTGAAGCTAATGTGGACAGGATATCAGCACAGACTTTGACAATTAAATAGAGAGGTATGCAACCTTAAACCCAGGCAAGTTCTACAGCATGACTATGTCCAGTCTTTCTAATTCAGTGAAGTGATTGAGGCTTGTTAGCAGATAGTTAAAACATTAAATAGATAAAATATAAAGAGCTGGGCAAGGGCTAAAGATCAGTAGTAGAGTTCTTGCTTAATAGCACCATGAGGAAAAGCAATACAGCGACTGAACGAAACCTATAAAGCTATGTCTATTAAAAATTAGTCTCCCCCCCAAAGAATACAAAAAGACATCTTAGAGGGACTTGCAGACATCACTGCAGCTCTTCCCTTAACCCAAGTATCTGTAAAATAGTTTTAAATTTAAATCAGAATAAAGTTAACTTTTTTTTTGAGTAAAACTATTGTCTTGAACTTACATGATGTTTTCACTGAGACTTGCCTGGGTCCTGATGCTAAGCATATTAAGGACTCAAGAATAAAGTTAATCTTTGAGTAAAGCAATTATTTTTGGTGCTTATATTCTAATTTCTATTTTACTGGAATTTACATGAGTTCTGACCTGAAATTTATCAAGTACTTACAACATAATTAATGAGCGTTCCTTTAATCAAAGCATAAAAGTATCTGCATAAATTATGTTAAAAATTTTATAAGTTAGAAGCTCATCAATGTAACTTACCTGTCTTTTTTACTTTTTCCTTTCTGCTGCTTCCCTGCAAGGATTCTTAATTCTTCTTCTGAAGGATGCTGATACCACCTCAAACTAAGGGGGGGGGGGGGGAGGGGGGAAAGAAATCACTCAAAAGTACCAGGTTACTCATTTATTCTAAAAAATTGTTCCTGAGTTTCCAATTTATGAAGACACTGTAGGGAAATAGTCTGGTGACAACTGTAATGAAGCAGACACTGTCGCCCAAGCCTTGTAAGGTTTCAGACTCATACCTAGCCAACACTCAGTGAACACTCACTAGATGACAGGCCCTGATATGCTGTGTGCATTTCTAATACACTACTGCTTCTACACAAAAAGACACTAACTCTGCAGGCCACTGGGCACAGTCATCTTCTACCCAGTCTTCATTTGAACAAAGTGAGTTATCTTTAAAAGAGATCTGACCGAATGCTCTCACGCATTTACTAATCATCTTTCCTTCTTTCCCTTCTACCACATAAAATATCCACATCATTTATTCTTTCCAAGTACCAACCACTTCACTGTGACTTTCCTGTTCTACTGAGTGGTCTCACAATTTACTAGTCACTTTAATTTAATAATCCTCACTTCCCCTTAGTGTATGCATGTTACCATCATTTTGTGCAATGCTTTAAACTCTCAACACTCTACTGCAAACACTTCCTTCAGACCTGTGCTCCACTTAGTCTTCTGTAGCCACGACTATCACAGAGCTCTTACCTGATCTTTCTGCCTTCCTTCCCTTGGACTTCCTTCTCATCCACCCACTCTGAGGACATTCTCAGTCTCATAAAAGAAATCTTGCCAAAAGTACATTAGCCCATTTAAATCCTTCCCAAGGTTATTTAAGGCAGTGCAATACGTAGGCCATGCAAGGACTTCCATTACTTCAAGGTCCTCACTATTATATTATTTATTACAAAGGGTGAATTCAAACTTTGTATTGCTATAAATTTAAAAAAAAAAACACAAAACTTTAGATTATAATATGAAATGTCTAAACTTAAAGAAATATCTACAACTAGCTAGCTGTGTTTTTAAAATGCTACAGTAATGATAATTTGAGTAAAGACTGAGTATTTGATAAAAACTCTGAGATGGGTTGTGTTAATTTTTAAGTTTACATAATTTAGAAAGTAAAAATTTTATGGCTAAAAATAGTACAATGTGGTAGATGAAGCCAAGAACAGATTACACAAATCTTGAGTACTAGCAACTGCGGTGAATACATAGCAATTTATGGTATTAGACTGTCTACTCTGAGAATTCCCACTAACACATGCTCCAAGGCCTTAAATGTGTGAAGTCGTGACTTCCTGCTTCCATAGCCTTGCATGACAAGCCCAGAGCTTAAGTCTCCAGATTGCTTTTTAATCATTTCCTCTACAAAAGGACACACTCTGTGACTAAATAACATTTTATTTCTCACAAATTCTTTCACCTTTTATTGCTTTTACATACATTCTTCTCTCTGGCTATAAAGACCTATGCTCTAATTTACTTCTTGTTCCACAAGGCAGTATTCCACAGATATAATACAGAATGCATCATCTGTTCTTTGCTCACTCTGGTCAATGCTTCAAAAGCCCAAAGTGACAGGTGGTTTGCTATGCTAAAGAAGCAACACTAGTAGAATCTTGTCACCAGAAACCCCAAACACATGATTAAAGGGTTGGAATTTTCAGTCACTTAACCTCCAGTTATGAGAAAGAGATTAGAGTTTTAGTTCCATCATTTAAATAAACAATATAGACTCTACTACTACTACAAAAAAAAATCTACCTTTGGATGAAACTCCCGACACCTTTGGATGCCAAAGCTTGCTGTTATTTTCTGGTTGGTTAATACATGGATGGGCCAAAAGGGAAAAACCTTCAAAGTGGTCCTTGTGTTAGCAGCACAAGGCTGGCCACAAGAGACAGTGTATGCTTAGATAACATGGCATCACTATGGATATTGTGGATAGCTAGCATGGCCAATGCTAGATATCCAGGGGGCTATAAAGGAAGCACACTGCAAGTCTGATGAATCCTCAAGCAAACAGTGACATCGTCTGTATATGACTATTATTGGCCAAACACAGCTTTCATATAGGTTTTGTGTAAATGCAGTCTTAAGGACAGAGGCCTTTGGCCATATGTCGATCTACAGGTCTGTGTACCTGTGTACCTGTCTATATGTGTGACTATGACCTCCTGTGTGTGGCCTGTGAGTGCCTCAATGTCTCTGTCTACAGTGAATAAACTATGTCTTATCTGCCTATGACTGTACACACCATACGCTTTCAGGCCTCCCACAGCCGCCTTCTTTCCTGACGTGAAACTCAGATCTCACAGCTTGGCTCTGTCCAGGAAAACAAGACTAAAGTTCTGCTTTCCTGTGTCCTAAAATCCCTGCCTTGCTGCACACGTAGGTGAAAAACGAGACATCTAAATGCTTATCATTGAATTGTATTAAACATTTCCCACAATTTCAACCCATCTCCTAAATGATGACAGGGTTAGCTCTTTAGAGGAGAATGTTGAAATGGCAGGAAAGGTCTTTTACCTTCTAGCCACAGAAATAAAGTCTGCTGAGGCAGAGACAAACTGTTAAAAAAGAAGGGTAGAATATTCCTTTAATGAGATAATAGACCGTTCCTTCCCAGAATTCTCATCCTTTGTATAGTTGCTCACAGCGCAGCTGACCTCTTTTCTGGAAACCTCAGAAAAATCATAATTTTCCCTTTTCTTTATTCTATCTGTTTTTAAAACATGCTCTACCTGACACTCTGGGTTTCTTCATTCTTTGTCTAAAACTTCCCAAAGCTTGTTTTTGGCAGTGGCTTCCTGCTCTGAACCTCAATGCCTAACTTGAAGAGGCACTCTTTCTTCTCCATCCTGCTTTGCTGGGATTTATAGCCTACCTGCCCTAAAGTTTTTAAGACTCAATAAAATTGCCCTAAGGATTTCTTCTGCATCTGCTCTTAAACTCTTTTATTAAGGAGACTAAGAACCCAAGAAGGGGCCTGCATGAGGGTTCCAGCAGTCCTTCTCAAATTTTCTGGTAATATTCCAATTTCACATGCAAACTGTACGGCAGAAATTGTGTGCCTTTCCCCAGGTCTTATCATATATGCATCTTTTACAATATTGTAACCACAGAAGTTTCTTAATTCTATGAATCACTCTATGTGAATGACTGAGTTGCAGCACGCCAAGCTGCTAGTCAATTAGAGGAAAACAGAATACTTAACTTTTCTGAAGTTGATCATTTTACAGTTTTTGTATAATGCAAAGCTAGTAGAGTTGCTGGCACACAGTAAGTGCACAAAAAGAATCTCTGAACCAAAATAATTCAGTTTTCTTCCTAGCTTAATATATCTATAAATTTAACACACACACACATATATGCAGAATGTACATGTATCTACACATAACAAAAGTCTCTAGTTACAATTACTAGGTGAGGAGAAACCTGCAGTTTCTACTCAAGTCCAGAACATTAGCTCAGAGTAGACTCTCGTTTTTTGCGGTAGTAATGTTCTATAAAGTCTCCATGAAACACTGAACCACTGCTCCTGGGGAACACACAAGGTTGGGCTCCTGCGAACCTCTGGTCACATCTTTCATTGCCTGATCAAGACATAACCTTGTTTATGTGTTTCCTTTTAAAATGCTTTACATAAGATTGGTGATTCAGTAACATTGAATTCACAGCAAGTAGCACTATCTCATAACTGAGATAGCCTTTCTAATGTCTACAATCATAAAAGTGTCATTTTCCTGTGTTTTGTGAATTATTCCTACATAATTTCCACTAGATATATCACTGCTTTTGTTTGCTTACAAAGATTAAACAATGAGCCCGCCTTATATTTGAAGGCCATTTTATTTTGTATTTGGTCTTTTGAGATAGGATCTCTCTATCCATTCTGGCTGTTCTGAAAATCACTATGTAGATTAGGCTGGTCTCAAACTCACAGAGATAAACCTGTCTCTGCTTTCTGAATGCTGGGATTAAAGGCTTGTATTGCTGTGCTTGGCCTGAAGGTCAATATAAAAAACAAACTATGGACAAAAAGTCAAGGTGAAATCAAAGTAGCCTGAACTGGAAAAAGAGATGCCTACTTATGAGACTTAAAAGAAGTGAGCAGAGTCTCCTTGTTAGGCCACAACGGAACATAAGTGTAGGTCAACAGAAGCTTTGTGCACCTGTGCATATGTTCACATGCACACATGGAATAGAGGAAGAAAGAACACTGGACATTTCTTCTGTCACTCTTCTGCACTCCTCCTTTGAGGCCTGAGTCTGTCCTGGAACCTGGACTAAGCTCACAGGTTGGGTTTTTTGTTTATTTGTTTTCGGTCAGGCAGATCCTTCTATCTCTGTTGACTACAGTGATATAGGGTAACAGGACCATCATGGGACCACATTTGGTTTGTTCTGTGGGTGCTTAGCAAACAGATTCAGGTCCTCATGGATGTACAGCAATACTTCAGTCATTGAGGCTTCTCTCTGGTGCTAACTTATTTTTGTAGGTTATTTTGTAACAATTTCCTTGTTGGGCATCAACTGGGAACATATATGTAGGTCCACACAAACGTTTTACTATTTGTAGAAGTCCATGGCTGACTAGTAAGGCTCTACCCACGTACTGACTCTGGTGATGGCATTTTTCTAAAATGGAATATATACCAGAGTGATTAGATAATGTAAATTAACTTCATTAATAGTATATTTACAGCTGAGCTCTAATGGTGCTGAAACCTTCAAGGAACATGCATTTGTAGTCTTCCTCTCAATCCTTCATTCATCAGACATGTATGCAGAGCCTAACACGTTCCAGATACTTTGACATGGTATACACATGACTCAAAATCAACTCCAATAAAGCCAAAATCCCTGTCATTTTGATGCTTCTACTGGAATAGAAAATAACATTTTCCAGTGAAAAATAAATTGCAAGTTGTGATACCACATTAAAAAAAAAAATGAATGGGGGGACTGACAAGATGGCAGCACCAGGAGGACACTTCATCTGAGGAGCAGGACAACATCATTGGTACAGTGACCAAGAGACTGAACTC